TCTTTAGACTCTTAGACTGACAAGTTAACTTTACTTCCCCCCATGCGGTGCTTTGCAAAAGTTTTGTTAATTACTTCAATGGAATTTGTTGTCTCTGAATCAGTAAAAGAAAGGAATGGTGTGTGATGATTTAGGCCTGGCAATGTTATTAAACAGAGAGGAATGCTATTCTTCTGTCTCTTTAAAGTAAACTAAGTTAGTTAAGTATCTTTTGGTCAGCATGTTTTAAATTCAGGCTGTATTTAACGAACATGTTTAATCTTCTCGATCTTTTTCTGAAGAACATGTGCTTGTTAACTGACTATACGTACATTACATTTGAAATAAAAGTAAGACAAAGACCCTATCTGCAGAGCTGCTTCAGCCTTCTCTTATCTGTCTGTATCAGGTAATTCTTGAAAGTGATGATGAGGATTACATGTAATTGCTCTTGAAAATGCTCTTCCATGACAGAAAGTCTTGTGATTTAGTGAATTTGTGGAAACGGATGGATGGGTCTGTACTGAAATGCTCTATGTGTTCACAGGATAGACAAAATCTGCTTACCAAGATCACTTCTACGGATTGTAAGATAGTCTCTTGCGACAGCAAAGGCTACAAAGACCTCAAAAATTTGTCTGATGAAGACCTAGAACCATGTAAGTGTAGAAGTTAACTTACTGTTAACAAACTTCTTGGTCTTGCTTTGTGGTGGTACGGCCACTGGTTATTACACAGGCTGTTCTGGCTTTAATCAAAGGTCAGTTTAGCCCAGTATCCTGTATCTCTCAGGGGTCACCAGTGGATGTCTGTGAAGGACTGTAGGCAGCACTATGCGCTTACAAGTCCCTGTCCCAGAGCACCATTCTGGTTGCTGTCAGTGTGTGCTGTAGGGCTGTGTTGTTTCTGTGCATTTGGTGACCCTTAGTGGCTTCCTCTTGGGTGAACGTGTTTCATGGCTTCAAGGACAGAGAGGGCAATTCACTGCTTAGTGACTTGTTTCCAATATACAAGTTGTCAGCTGTGTTGGATACCTTCTAATTCCTGTGTGAGGCGAGAGGAGGAATACTTGATCCCTGTCCACTTCCTTACCTGTGATAGTTTCGTGTTCAATAGAAAATGAAATGTGGTTCTCCAGCGTTCACTTTATA